AACTCTGGGGATAAAACAATCCTCATGCTGCCACACTTAGCTTCTGGCTGACATTTAATTCCATTCTCACTGTTCCCAGGCCTTACTCAGATCCACAGAATCAAGGACTCCAGGAACAACCTACCCTACCACATCAATCACCTTTAGTGGACCTATTCTAGCCTTCGAGGTCAAGGCCTAGCCCAGTCATATGGCTCTGGATGGTTGGCCAGGCTTCCTTGGAGCTATTGGAGACAGTATGGCTTGTCAGCACCAGGTGGTCAGACCCACTGAAAGGGACATAGAAAATCTGGATGGAGTTGCTGTTGTCCAGGAAATGGCACCAATGACCTTTCAAAAGTGAGCACTTTCCATAACCTAAGCCAGTGAACAGTCTCTGCTATACGAGAAGAGTGTGGCAAACCACAGCAGGCCTGAGCACCCAGCACCCAGGATCTCAAAGGTGGTAGCTGTCCTGCCCAACTGCCCCACCTCAGGGCGAGGATAGATATCCTATGTTCCAAAGGTATAAGTAGATAGTTTCCGGAAAAACCATCTCGCACACCTGTGATGGCCAGCCTCTCTTCCAGGACCCAGAGATCTACAGGCAGGAAGGACATAAAAAGCAGCTTTGTCAACCACCACCTCTTACTAGTGCTGGGCTCCAGTCACAGATCCAAAGTCCCCAGCAGGTTGTCCAGTTGAGCTTCCTCCTGTTCGATTCCCTTCCCCTAACACCTCTTGTTCTCATTCAACTCTGCACCTTCTGGAAACCAAGCTACTCTTACGATCGGCCCACTAACCACTGCAAGAGTGGTCAAGGCCCATGGTTGGTACAGCCCTGCACAGGACAGCAGAGAAAAGCCTCCACGACTGGCAGAGAAGGGAGTCAAGGAGGTGAACCCACATAAGCATAAGAGAAGGCAGAGCCCAGGTCCTCAGGAGTGACGGCGGAGGAGTAAAGTCAACGACAGAGTCTGAGTGGAAGCTGTAACTTTACCCAGCTGTCTTCTGTTATTTGCTACAGGGTCTTACGTGATAGCTTAAGCTGTGGTGGAACAGTATCTCAGGCTGGCCGCAAGCCTCTGGAGACCCTCCTACCTCAGTTGCCCAAGTGCTGGAATTAGAGGTGTGAACCATGTCAGGCAAGATTCCCTATTTCTTTCTTTCTTTTTTTTTTTTTTAAAGTGTGTTAGGGACCTTTGGACACGTAGGTATACTGTGCCACCAAAGTCACACACTATCCATCAGTTTGTAGAGTCCCTGCCCAAAATCCAGGAAAACCTAGGTTCGAGCCCCCCCCCAATAAAACGGATAGCGATGACAGAAATCTACAATGTTAGCATTCACTCAAGGTCAGATGTTCAAGGTCATCTTGGGCTACACAGAGAGTTCAAAACCACTTAGGAAACATGAGGAAGGCCCTTTCTCAACAACAACAACAACAACAACAACAACGTCCCAACCGAAACTAAACCTAAAGTCAACCAACCAGAGAAACAGAAATGCAGTCTCTCCCACTATGTGCCTAAGTTGGTTCAGGACTCCTGGGCTCAAGGCATCCTTCCCGATTCAGGCTCCTGAGCAGGGAGTAGCACATGTGTGTTACGAGGGCATGACAAAGGTAGCCCCTCACCTCCAATCTCCTGTGAGGGAGACCTGGTGTCAGGGAGACTTCGGAGGTTGAGGACATTAACAGGGTGCTCTCAAACCCTGAAACTCTTAGAAAGTGAAACCTCACAAGGCAGAGCTGCCAACGCCCTCCCCTTCCTGTAATCTGTGACTGAGGTGCCACTGCCCAGAAGAAATCGGGAAGACTAGAGATAGCCTGTGGGACAGACACCTACTCCTGGGTTGGAGTTGGGGGTCTGGCCTGGGTCACACATGATCCGTACTCACATTTAGCAGGGTAGCTGGCTGCTGCAGGCCACAGGTCTGGAATTTCCCTCACCAACACTCAGGATGACTTCCCTAAAGGGCGGGGCAGGCAGGGGGCGGAGCTTGGGTATTTAAAGAGCCCTGCAACTGGATCTTTTTCTCCTCCAGGCTGCACTGAAGACACTGGACAATTTCCGCCTCAGTGCTAACTGGCGGGGGTGGGACCAACACTAGGAAATCAGAGGACCCAGTAGTGGGGTGTGGTGCAGATGGTGGCTGGCTGCACCTCTGCCTCATCTGGCTTCACTACTTCAGTGTGGAAGAATCCAGTTCTGCCTCTGCCCAAGTGAGATGCGTGCTTGGGTTGAGCTGCAGTCTCTCCTCTGAGAAGATAACCGGCATCTTTTATTAGATTCAGAACATGCAGCTCAAAACTGCAGACAGACACTAAACAGAACACACACGCACTCTCCTGAAAGGCACTGCACTGGGAGCTTGAGGCTTCTGTTACAAGCTTCCCAGAGCCTGGGTTGGGAAAAGCCGGCCATGCCCAGCACAAAACAGTCTGCACCTGTAGGCTGGAGCAACAACAGTCAGTACTTCCGTTGCCTGGGAAAGAGACTATTTCCTGAGGATCGGAGTGGAGGGCTGGCAGGGCTGGGGCCCTCTGAGTCTAAGCTGAAGAGGTCTCTCCCGGTCCGAAGGATCTGCTCCTCTAGTTTCTTATGTCGCTTCATGTCTGAGAGGACCTTATCTAGACGCGCCTCCCGTTTCTGGCTCCGGGCTGAGGTTCCTAAGAAGGTAGGAAATGTGACAGCATTGAGACAGTGAGCATCCCCAAGTCCCTACACTTAGAGACCTTGTTAAACACATCCTTTTTAGGCCTCAGAAGCACAGAGGAGCAAATGTTTAGGTTTGTGCCACACACAGGATGGCTGATATTAGGCTAACATACCCATAATGCGATGGCTGGGGAACACAGCCATCAAGTACAAAGGTCCTGGGGCAGGAGGCAGATTTATTCTGAGTACAGTACAGTATTCTGGGGCAGGGGTGGAGGACAGGAAACTTAAATTCTCCCTGGAAATGCTCTTTCTCCTGTAATGGAATCTTCTGGAGGAGTACAAGCAGAGAAAAGTCAGGACTTCACTTAAAAGGACTACTCTGGTTGCTAAGACCAGAACTGTGGCGACTAGTTAGAACTGTGATAAGTGGCAAGCAAGAGAGAAATGGTCGGGTTGGAGAGATGGCTCAGCGGTTAAGAGCACTGACTGGTCTTCCAGAGGTCCTGAGTTCAATTCCCAGCAACCACAGGGTGGCTCACAACCATCTGTAATGGGATCTGATACCCTCTTCTGGTGTGTCTGAAGACAGTGACAATGTATTAACATCCATAAAGTAAATAAATAAATCTTTAGAGAGAGAAATGATATTAATGGTGGGTCTGTAGAAGTGGAGCTAAGCTTGAGCAGCTGGAAGAGAGTTCAAGAACGATTCTTAAAGTATATTCTAGGAAGGCCCATAGGCTGGCTATGGGATGTCAGCTCTGGACATGAACATAGTACCACAGAGATGTGCTCAGGAGACTTTGGACTTCTGGGAAGGTCTGCAGGTGTCTGACAGGAAAGTATAGCACTGACCTAAGCCAGAAATATGGGGCCCCTGTGTGAACGCTCCTTTCTGCAGCTAGTCAGTCTTACACGACTGCGGGAACCAGCCAAGGCCTCAGACCAGCCTACTTCTGGGGTAACTAGAGGCCTTTTATTTCCCCTTGATTCTTCCCTCTCATTCGTACCTGGTGTACGTCTTCTGTCAATCAGTGAGTCCTTTGGTGTCATTGGCTCATCATCAAAGTCAAATTCTGTAGGCATGTGTGGCCTGAAACAGGGTGGACAGAAAGCCAAGGGTGAGAGTGGCTCTCCCAAACACCTGCTGGCACATCCCAGCCCACTGGCTCATCCTTTCCTGCTCTCCCCTCCCTCCCGTTTCTGTGCTCAGGAGAGCAGTCCCAGGAATAATGTGTAAAGCATGGCCTCACTTTTCCTCCTCCTCTTCTTTGGCCTCTGGCTCCTCATCTGATCTCTCCTCTTCACTCTGGGCCTCAGGAGTAGGCGGCCGGCGGGGTAGGATCTCTGCTTGAAGCTCCAGAGTACCTTGGGTAGCCAGCAGTTCATAGAGCCGCTGGATTTCGGAGGGTGGGGGCATCCAGGACTGCCCATTGGCCGGCAGCTCCACCTCCTCATCGCTGCAGGGCACGCACCAGTCTTCGGATTCTCCCTCGGCACGCTCGTCGCTCGCAGCGCTGGGAGCGTCTAGTGACTCCTCAGCCCTGGATCCCTCACGCCCGGCCTCCTCCTGACTGCCTTTCCCCTCTTCCTCGGCCTTACTAGCCGAGACAGAGGGACCTCCAGTGTCCTCCACCGCTAGAGCCTGGAGGCCGGAAGTCACTTCCCCTTCTTCAGACAGAGGCGCCGCTGTGCTGCCTGCAATGGTTCCATGGCCCAGGGCAAGGGACATAGAGTACTAGAGAAGAAGCCCAGCAATATAGGAGATTCTAGAGTACCAAACCAGGGTGCCTCAACCAAAAAGCTTGAGATCCAGTGGGGCCTAGGAAATCGCCCACCAGTCAGTTCAATAGCTGACTGCGGTCAGAGCACCGTCCCCAGGAGGGGGCGCTCAGATCCCTGCAAGGACAGACCCCACCCCACGGATCCAGAAGTCTGCCGTTCCCAGGGACCCGCAGGAAACACACTCGGAGCTGGAAAGGGAAGGGCCTGCTTTCTCGCTTTCACATCGCCTTCTCCACCACCTAGATGGAAGTCATTTTTTAAGAACCAGGAAAGCCTAGTTCGCGTCTACTCAGCAGCGGTACAAACCTGGAGCTAAAACCCGCCTCCCAGGCTGCGCAGGACCGCAGTACGCAAGCGCAGAGAAATGGCGCGCGGAGGCTCCGTGGTAGTCAAAGCTACTTGGAAGAGGAAAGAGAAGACTTGCGCATGCGCAATTAGGCCCTTAGGAGTCACTAACTTCGGCCCATACTAAAGATGGCCACTGCGGCAGCGCATGCGTATTCCGTTCACTAGGGCCTGCCAGAAAGCAGTACCTTGACTCTGCAAACCAACACAGGGACCAACTGAGGCCAGTCTCATGCAATCTCTGTTTATTAGTGTTTAAGACTCATGCAGCATTCAGCATACAAAAAGGGAGACTCAGTTTTATTTTTTTAAAGGAATTTTAGTTTTCCCCCAACTTTTTTTTTTTTTTTTTAAAGAAAGGAAACAAACAAAAAAAAAAAACCCCACCAACTCCAAAATGGCAGCTGGCTCTCTGCCTCCTCAGAGGGCTGTCGCGTGCAACAAACCTCCCTCATCCTCTTAGAGAATAATTACAGAGCTCCCCCGCCCTTCTCTTGCTCCCTGCAGCTGGGAACTTTGGTCATTTTTTTTTTTTAATTCTACTGTTTATAAAGGACATAAATGGACCTTCAAACAAGAAACTCTGAGGTTAAAAAGCCCGAATGGGCAGGTCAATTCAGGCTGACTCTTCAGCCGCAGCTGTACCCCTTCCTCCCCTGGATGTTCAGAGTGGGGACTCCCACTCTTGTGCAAGTCCCCCAGGTGTGGCCTGGCTTGCCAGCTTTGCGACCCAATAGGCACCTTAGGGGTTGGGGTGAGAGTATGGTCTGGTCCTGGGTGGTCCCCAGTACAGAACAGTCAGAGCCCCCAGCTAGGCTCCTCTCCCCATACCATCCTTCTTCCCTCAGCCTGACCTAAGTACTGCAGTTTTTGCAGACTAAGTGTTGGCAGGAGGGTGAAGACGCTAAGGGGAAGATGAGAAGGGAAAAGGGAGAAGGGGATGTGGCAAGGGGAGAGGATGTGAAGGAAGGGAAGAAAGGGATGGGTTAGATACCAAGACAATGAAAGTTGGGAAGTCGGGGTTAGTTAAGGTTCAGAGGATTCCAGAGGCAGGAAGAAGTGCAGGGAGGCTGGGAGAGATGCAGAGGTGCAGAGTACAATTTAATGTTCAGGAAGGCTTCCAGAAGTGCAGAGAGGTTTTCAGAGTGCAGGGTTAGGGAGGTCAAGAGGCAGGAGGGGAGGTCTGCAGGCAAAAGTGCAGGGAGAAAGGAAGCCTATGGCTGGCAGAGGAGCCTGGCAGGATGCAGGAGTAGGAAAGAAGCTGTAAACAAGGCCGCTCAGGCTCCCTTGGTCCCTAGGGATGGGGGCCAGGGCCATGGACTGGGATTCTCCCAGGATAGGGATGGACCCAAGACAGCTCCCAACAGGAAGAAAAGTCTTGGAATGCAGGGCAGAGCCCCTCACTTATACACTGTGGGCGAGGAAAGGGAAAGACAGACAGGGACGGAGACAGGAAGAGACAAAGGAATAGGGGGGACAGACAGGAGAGAGCAGGGTCAGGGGTTAGTAAAGCTGCCCTTGTCAACCCTCCGCTCCTCCCTCTCCTGTCCCCGACCCCCACTCACCGCCTAAGTTGATGACACAGGAGGCGATGATGATGAGGACCCCCCCAACCAGCGCCACGATGCTTAAAAGCTTGGCTACTCGGCCCAGACGTTGAGCCCCATCCACGTCCCCCTGTTGCAGGCTGTTCCGGGACTGGGGTGAGGGTGAGGGGTATGGAGGTATCATGGCCCAGGTCAGCAGGAGCCAGCCCAACAGGAATCAGGTGAGAGTCCAGAGGAGGGAGGTCAGCCCCATGGGGTTAAGAAAGGAAGGAGAATTGGGGGTGCAGGAGGAAGAGGGTACAGGTCAGCAAGATTATATGAAATATCTGTTTCCCTCCCGCTTGAAGGGGTAGGGTGGGCGGGAGGGCCTTGAAGGGTTAGGTCCTGGGGAGAGGCAAGCAAAGGCCCCGAAATTAGAAAAGTGGGATCCATGCAGAGAGGTGAGGGAAGGTGTCATTACTGGGGCTCTGTGCTGACACTGGCACAAAGCTGGGAGTCATGGTACACTTGGGCCAGGGTCCCTTGGGGCTCACCATGACGGCATAAGCGAAGGCCACAATGTTGACAGGCCACATGGGGCAGAAGCAGGACAGGATGGCAAGGATGATATAGTCCCGAGGTTTCTGGGTGCTTTCACCCCCTTCTACCCCAGGCCCTGCCAACTGGGAGCTGGGATGACGGCTTAGGCTACCTCGAGGAGATCCTGGATGCCCACCATGAGCCCTTCCTACTCTGTCTTCCTCAACCAGCTTCTGCAGCACACGGGGGGGAGCCCCATTGGCTGGGGGTGTTTTAGTTGAGGGTGGTGAGTGAGGCTGGGGGGCTGGGCCCTCTTCCCCGTCACCAGCCTGAAGGGGAACCACTGCTCCATTTTCTTGTTTTTCCCCTGTACTTTCTGTCAGGACCTCTGTGGTAGGGTCCTCTTGGGTGGGGGGATCTGCCTGAAGGGGTGATTTAGGAAGAGGCTGGGAAGTTGGCTGAGGGTCTGACTGGGTATTAGGCTGACAAGCAGGCTCTGAGGGTGGCTCAGGAGGGGCTGCAGACTGCTGCTCAGACCCTTGCTCTGCTGTAGCTTCTCTGTCCTCTGGCTTAGATGCTGGCTCTTGGGATCCTTCTTTGGGACTGGGGCTGGCCTTGGAGTCTTCTCCTGGTTTTAAGCTGAGGTCTGTGGCCTGGACTGTTTCTAGGATTTCATCTGGGGTCTCTGTGGTTTCTGGTGCCAGCGCTGCCTTAGGCCCTGAGTCCACAGGGGCTACAGTGATGTCTGGGCCTGGCTGAAGGGCCTCTGGCTGGTCTGGGATCTCTGCTACAACCTGGGCAGGACCTAGTCCTTCTTCAGAATGCCTGGGACCTTCTGTCTGGGTGTTGGAACTGTCTTCCACCCCCTTCATCTCAGAGACCTCAGAGCTGCTGGCTGCCATCTTAGAAAAAAGAGATGGGAGAGGGCCCGTGGGGAAGAGGAAACAGCAGTGACAGTAGCAAATCCTGGAAGAGGAGGAGACAGGCTTGGTGAGGAGGGAAGAATATCTCTCATCACCACAGGTCCAAGAGGGCTATGATTCTGTTTCAAGGCTAGCCTGTACTGTCCCTAGGGAGAGAGGAAAAGTTGGGATTTCCTTTGCTTTAAGGTAGGACACCCTTGGGTGGAGAAGTGTTCTACTTAAAGTCTGCTTGGAGAGCCGTGGGAAGATAAACCCTTCTCTAAACAGAATTGCTCTTGGGTCTGTTCCTAGATCCATCCAACACACCCAACAAGACCCAGACCCTCAGCGCCCAACTCGAAGGTGCACCAGAACATCAAAATCTGTGCATGCACTAGACACTCCAACAGGCAGACTGACAGAGAGCCCCACACATTCCGTTCCTTTTGTACCCTTCCCTCCCTCCTCTCTGGGCATCACCTGAGAAGTGGAGGTTTTCTTACTGCGCATTCGGGCTCAAACGCTCGTCTACCTCCTCCCAGCCCCTTCTTGGGGGACCCAGTATCTTGTGCATACCTTCTTAGCCCTTCTTTTAGGGGTTCCCTTGTTGGTTTCAGCAAAGGCTGAGGGGGAGGGGACCTTCTCCCGATGGTCGCACCCAGCACCACCCTCTAGTTCGCCTGGCACCTGCATTCCCATGCCACCCAGATGTCTGTCGTCCACACCTACCAGCAGTCTTAAATTCGTCCAGGTCTCATCCGCTGCCAGCCTCGGGACTGCTCCTGCGTCCCACCGCCGCTGCTGCAGCAGCCGCAGACCGGGGAGGGAACAAGTCTGTGAGCAATGAAGGGAGGTGGCGGGTCTCCCCTCCTCTCTCCTCCGGGTTTGCTCGGCCCTTCTTCTCTGGTCCCCTCCCCTAAGCTCCACTGCTGCCGCGCCGCCCCCGCCCCTAGCACGCCTCCTGCCCCTCCCGGATAGCCCAAGAGAACCTCGTGCCAGGTCCTGTGTTACCTGGGTAACCGGCCCGGGGACCACTCGTGCCCCCTCCCTGCCCTTTCTCGCCCCTCCCTGCCCTTTCTCACGCGCACCTCCTGGTGGGGCACCCCCTTCCTAAGTCCTCGGCCCCTCCCGCCAACGGTCACCGGGGGATCCTGGCAGAGACCTAGGTTTGTGAAGAGACGGACCAGTGAGGACTGGGTGGAGGCATCCTGAGCCTCCTAGATGGGTTAAGCAAACAGGTCTAAGTTTGGGGCAGCTGCAGGGAAACTGCGTGGGGTTTCAAGAGAAGGGAGCCTGCAGAACCGAAGAAGCCTTCCTACTCCTGGAAAGCAGCAGCAGCAATGCGTGATGAAAGCTTAAGGAAGGGTCTTTATAAAGGTCTGAGCAAAGCCCAGAAAAGGAAATTCCGGCAAGCTAAGAACGGCTAGGGCAAGCAGTCCATGACCACCACAATGGGACCCGAATGCAGTTTACTGAACCCTGTGTCAACCATGGCCCCTGGGATCTGGATGTGCAGGCATTTATTTGGAGGGGTTCTGTGCAGCCCGGTGCTGGGTTGTGGGCAAACAGCATCAATGACTTGCTCGGGCATTCCAAATCTCCAGTGGGTATTCTGTGCCTGTCCACATTGAGTATTCCCTGAAGACCTGAATTTGCTCTCCACAACTTCTGAATTCTTGGATCTACCCTAAATTTGTGTTGTACTGCAGCTAGAGAGGCTGTCCCTCAGAAGAGAGAAGCTACCTTTGCAGGGCAAGAAAGGTTGGGACTAAGATCAAAGTCAACAAAGAATGTGTCTCCCTCTCCCTAGAAGGGACGAGGCACACACACAATGGGGCTTGGTGAAGATAACTTAGGAACCCAGAGACAAGTTTTTATTTAAAATTTATTGTAATGGGGTCTGCGCAAAAGAAGGGAAGGGAGGGTGGGGAACATGCAAGGGACACAGGAACACGATGACATGGCCAGGGCCATAGCTTCTGTTGTGGGAAAGAGGAAGAAAAGACCAGGGCTGGAGCTGGGGTGGAAGAGGGAAGGGGGAGACACTGTGGCTGCATTCCCCCACCCCCAGGAAGCACCTCTTGTCCCTGGCTCCCCTCTTTGACCCTGGCCCCCTAAGATTCCATCCCTCTTGTTCTGCCTCTGGCCCTCGTGGCTCCTTCTGATGCTCCCCTTGGTTTTCCCTGGACAGACACTCCAGGAGGATGCTCGGGGTGTGAGCACCCAAACCTTACTCAAAGTATCCCTCTGCCTTCCCTGCTTCTGCCGCTCAGTATCACCTAACTCTCCTCTGGGACAGAATCTTAATTCCCCTCCTCTCTCTCCTCCCTACCCCTGGGAAAAAACAACAACAAAAAAAGAAAGCACCAACTCCCCAGGAAGGGGCAGCAGACAGTAGGGGAGGGACAGAAGGAGGAGAGCACAGGACCTTCTAGGGAAAGGCTCACAAATCCCTGGGAGGAAAGGCAAGGGGTTAAAAGTTGAGGGCAGTGGCTGCTGCTGTCCTCTGCCACCCCTGCTCACTGTCCAGGGGACTTCAACACAACTCAGGGGACAGGTGTTTGTAGGGTCAGCTCTGATAGGGAGAAGAAAGGAGCAGGAGAAACATTGTTAAAACCTAGTGAATTCCTTCTTCCTCCTCTCTGTCTGGAGGCTCCTTGGTTGACGAAGAGTCGTGAGGAGTTGGTGGGAAGAGGAGACTGTACCAAGAAGAGCTTTTCTCCACTCTCCCCTCTCCCCCATCAACTTGGAGCTCACCAAGGCTGGGAGGGAAGTGGCTGAGAGCTCACTGGTACCCCCTCTGCCCCAGAGAGGGAGACCACAGCTGTGGGAGGGGCTGCCACCACTGCTGCTGCTGCCGCTGCTGCCGCCGCTGCCATTGGACAAACCTCACCAGTACCTACAGTAAGAAACACCAAGGATCACAGCGCAACCTAAATGGCAAGAAACAGGCTCCATACCCCAGACTTTTCAACTATTTCCCTACTACCCCTGGGACACAGCCGTTACTTCCTATCTGGTCCCCAGAGACTTTGGCCTACCTGCTTACCCAGACAGAACATGTCCATATTGCCCTCTCTGGACCCCAAGTCTCCCTAATCTGAGTGACAGACTGGCATCCCTGGCCTTCCTGAGATCCCCTATTGGGCCCTTTGAGTTCCCTTGTCCCACACATCCCATCCTGCCCCCCCCAGCCGTCCCACACCTTGCCTGGTGGGTGCAGGGGTCCCCCTCAGCAGGTAGGCTGTGGCTGGGGGGCATCTCCCGGGATAGGAGGGGCGGCCCCCCCAAGATGGGTCTGCATGTGGCCGGCCAGCTGGGCAGGGGTCTTGCAGTGCACGCTGCACAGCTTGCACAGGATGCGGTCAGCCCGCGGGGCCTGGAGCCCATGGTCCTTCACCGCGTGGATGCGCAGGTATGCTGCTGTGGTGAAGCCTATGGGGGGGGGTTGTGATGGGGGGGTGGGGTCAGCCTGGTGGAGACCCCAGAGACAGGGCTGTTCTCCTAGGCGGGGGACACCCTCCTCACATGGCACTGTCCTCCTCCCACATCCTTGGTAGGCTGGGGCCAACTACTTGAGGAACATAGTCTTTCCCTGAGCTTGGGGACTGGTTTGAATGGTGCCCGTTTCTTAATCCTTAATGTCTACAGAGACCTTCCCCCATAGACAGGACACTGTTGCCTAGCTTTTTAAAGGGTTGACTCTCAGTAGAGACGGCTGTGTCCCCCCTCTCCAGTGCCCCAGTCTCATCTCCTTTAGTGAATAACCACATTGAAAATAGCTGTTACTGGGTAGGGTGTGTACTTGTTACACCCGTGCTTATATACTCCACCTATCCCAGTAGCTAGAGACAAGAACTCGTGGCTGCAAAGTTGAAACCCCAGGGACTGGCTTTTTGGCTATTCTTTTTTCAAAGCAACCACGTCCCACTTCATTCTCCCCAAGCACACCCAAGAGGTTGAATTTCTGGTAGACAGTCTCCTGTGAGCCATGGCACATAGTTTAGTGATGCTGTTTCCAATGCTGTTGTGCTTGCTTCTTCAAGGGTTCTCTACATGCCACGAGCTCTTGGCTGCAGCACCCTTGACCCACATTGGTTTAAAAAAAAAAGTGTGCCCCCCCCATCCCTGCCCTCCTGGCATTCTTTAGCATGTACCTTTGTTGCAGAGCTCACAGACATGGTGAGGGCCCTGGCTGTGCACCTTCATGTGGTCCGAAATATAAGCCGAGCTCAACATCTTGCCACACACATGACATGGCACCTTCTCCTCGTGTCGTACTGTGTGCGCTCGGAGTCGATCCTTCGTAGCAAAAGCTGCCTCACATTTCTGGGGGGGAGGGTGTGGGGGGTCACAGGAGAGTTAAAGCTTCGGGGGAGTAGAGAGAAGGGAGCAAGATAAAGGGATCAGAGCCTTGGGGGTCTTTGATCTGTAGGAAATGGGCGTGAGATGACCAGGCCTTGAAGGAGAAATGTGAAAATGGAGTGAAGAGGCAAAAAGAGAGAGAAAAAGGGGGTCTGAGAGGCTGAACCCACACAGCTACAATGAGGATCAAAATCATGAAAACCAGGACAGGAGGAAGCGGGCTTCCTACCTCACATTTGAAGGGCCGCTCTGTTGAATGCACTTGTCTGACGTGACTGTTGAGGTGATCCGGCCTAGGGATATGTTGAGGTGGGAGGGGGTGTGTGTTAGGGCTAAGGCTCCAAGGTGAGGTGTGCCTCAAATCTACCTAGGTTCCTCCAAAACGCCTTTCCAAAAGTCCCAGCATTTTCCCCACAGCTTCAGTCCTCAGGCAGGAAAGACCTAAAACCAAGATTCCTCTTCTGCCAAGAGGCTGCTTTTTCCTTCAGCCCAAAGACCCACCTCTTCTAAAGTACCACCCCGTTCCTAGTAACCACGAGGCTCACTTCCCTCCTCCCTGGGAGTGGTTCCTGTCCCCAGGAACGGAGCCGCCTCCCCACCAGCCAAAGATAGGCTACCTTGTTGCCCTCCCCCCACCATCGGCCTAGTGGGCAGCCGAGGCCCGTGCACACCGGGAGAAGCTCTTGCCACAGTGGGAGCAGTTGTAGGGCTTGTGCACAGCGCCGTCATGTGAGCGCACGTGGTAACTCATGCGGTCCTTGCGCTTGAAGCGCTGCTGGCACACAGGGCACTGGTAGGGCTTCTCGTCCGAATGCGACAGCTTATGTCGGTTCAGGTGGTAGACGTCGCGGAAGGCCTTGCCGCACATCTCGCAGGCGTGATTCTTCCGGATGCGCTTTCCAGAGGCAGTTGTGGTCACAACGCCACCGGCCGCCACTGCGGCCGTGCCACCGCCAGCCCCGGCTTCTCCCCCACCCCCGCTGGCCCCGCTCAGCTGGGGGACGCTCAAGAGGCTCAGGGGCACCATGGTGGGCATCTTCATAGCACCCGAAGGGACCCGGCCAGCCTTGGCTCCTGTGTGGATGGCTTCGTGCCTTCGGAGGTTGTAGCCGTTCTTGAACTCCTTGGCGCACAAGGCGCAAATGTAGGGCCCCTTGCTCTTTGTCTTCTTCTCCAAGACAGATGCAACCGGGGCCACAGCGACCGTCGAGGTTGGGGCAACGACAGCGGTGGCAGCCGCTGCGGCGATAGTGGCGGCCGCGGCGGGGGGCGCGGCCTCGGCGGCGGGTGCGGATACGGCAGGGGGTGGCGGAGGAGGCGCCGGAGGCTGCTTCAGGGCCGCTGTGTCCACTGTGGAGGCGGCAGCAGGGGCCGGGGGTGCAGTAACCACTGCAGCGGCAGCCGCCGCAGCAGCTGCAGCCGCCGCGGCTGATTCCTGCGCGGCAGCGAGAACCGGGAGCAAGTCCACTTGGAGGGGCTCGGCCGCCGGGGCCTGGGGCGTGGGTGGGGGCGCTGGCGCGGCCTGCGGAGACAAGGCGCCGGTGTGGGCCGCGGTCGCTGGTCGGCGCCTGCCCGCCCGGCCCGGCCCCTACTCACCTGGAATGGACTCTGGGCGCAGCCCTGGGAGGCAAAGAAGCGGGACTGGAGCTCAGCCCCGACCTGCAGGGGGTTCTGGGCGTGACCCTGAGGTGGCGGGAAGGAGTTCATGAGGCCGCCCACCCCCCGGGAGTCCAGGCCCAGCACGGGGAAGGGGGGGGCCAGCAGCGTGCAAGGGAACACGGGGAACATGGCCTCGGCCACAGTGGGGCCCCCGGAGCTCAGCGGGAGCCGGGGGCACGGGCCGCGCGGGGCCCAGGCTCAGGGCGCCGCCCCCGGCCGGCCGGGTTGGGCCGAGCCGAACGCATGGCCCGAGGGCCGCCCCGCCGCCCGCGCACCCCGGCCGGCGGGAGGGAGGGAAGGAGGGCGTCTTGTGGGGTGCGGAGCGCGGCGGCGGCGGCGACGCCCCCTGGGTGGGGGCGAG